AAACCAGAGAATAAATTGGTAGTTACCATGGATTAGAGGGAGGAAGAAATGGGGAATTATTTGCTACAAAATGCCTATAAATTTCAGTATGCAAGAAGAATAGTTCTCAGACAATGCTGCACAATGTAGTACCTACAGTTTTTAATAGTGTTATTCATTTTATAATATGTTAACTGAATAAATGTAAGTTCTCTTATTTCCCTCCCCCTTCAAAACACACACACACACACACAAAAGAATACAATAAAAGAATGTTTGGGAGGGATATGGATATATTTACTACCTTGATTTCACTAATGGACTCACAGAGAGTATACATTTGTCAAAGTCATCAGAATGCATAAAATTAAATATGGACAATATTTTGGGTATCAAATATACTCCAATAAAGCTTATAAACAAAATGGCTAGACAGAATGTTATATAAAATATTTTGAGTAATTTAGACTTTCAGTAATATATGTATATTTAGCTAATATATAAAATATCCTAATCAATAAAATGAATATATCTATTTTCAAATTTTATTAGCACCTATTTGTACAGTTTCATATGTAATGAATTTAAAATACGCTACTTATTTAGATTTAGTACTATAATATGAACTACCCATTCTAAGCTCATTATCAAATAACTTAAATTTTTACCTTCCCTTCTAATCCATGAAATGTGATTAAGAATAATACCCTGATTATATACCATAAAAATATGATGACAAAAATACTAACTGAATATTTTATGAAGATATGCTTTTAGTATCCAAGAATTATATACATATTAATGACATAATGATTAAAATATTGACCCAATTGTTAATTTTTCAGTAGTAAATATTCAGATAATTAGTAACATTTATTTATTGGGTTCCTATAATACTCAAGATGCATATTAGGTTCTAGATATACTTAAGGTAAAGATGATGAATAAATGTCATTAATTTCAGGGAATTTGTATTTTAATGGATCCTAGAGATAAATAAGGAAGCACAATACAGTACAAGTGTTAAGTGAAGTATAAGGTGGAAATACAGAACTGAAATATCAAGGAAAGATTATTGAGATTCCTACAAGAGGAATCATCTAGATCTAATTCTGTAGAAAATATGAATGAAGAAGAATGGAAACAAGGTATACAAAGACCAGAGAAAGAAAACAAAATAGTAAATATTAAGCAAGTAAAATAATATTTATGGTTATAGATTAGATAATGGGGAGGGATGTATATTCAATATTGATGTTAATTTTTATTTACTGATATGATGTTTCCCTGATTCTAGTACTATGGAAGCAATTGGAAGTTACATTTTTATGCAAAGAATACATTTTAAAGTATTGAATTAGAATAGGTAGATGATTAAGTTAAATAATTATTTCATCAAAGTATGTTACTTACAAAGCTTCTAAATGATGGATTAGGTAAATATTGAAAGCAGTTTTTATTAAGTATACAAAGATATTCAAGATGACCTAAAATTTAATGCATATTTATGCATATTCATACCATTAAGTTATTTATTTATCATGAAATTGTGTATGTTGGAAATTTAGTCAGAGGTATGGAGCCTGGAAAATAACAATACTACTTCAAAGGAATTTCTAACCTGAAAAACTGTCATAAATGGTGTTGAGGCCAAAGTGGAAGACTACTGCCATAAAAAAGTGAACCACAAGTATAATACGAGTACTTTGTGTTAAAGTGTTATTGAAACAAAAGTTTTTGCATCATTATCTCTATTCATAAGATAACCTCCCATTGCAGAAAAAGGGGATTATATGCCAATAACATTTTTAAGTTTGAATGAATAATTAAAAATGATTCGTATCTTTATGAAAACAACACAACAAGATTGTTCTCTCTCTAAATCAAGAAGGTAACTGCTTAAACAGAAAATTGCAAATGATGCACACAGATTTAATTTGCTGTCTAAAATTGTCAGGATTATAATTGTACTTTCAGATTTAGTTATTCCTCCTAGAAAGTACCTGTAAAAGCAAACAGTTTACCAGACACAGGTAATTTATTAACTCTGAAAATTATTAATTATATTACTAACTCACACTAGTAAACAGAATAAACAGAATAATGCATTTCATAAGAAATCAAATACTAGGTGTTAAAATCAGATATAGAAAGAAGGTTTTAAGTGACATTATTTTACAAAACATTGAACTCAATCATAAATAAATTATAACCAGCTAATGTACTGCACAGAATTTCTTATTTTCAACAACCCTGTGTATTAAAGGCCTTTATAATCACAAAATTATGAATGTATACATAAAATTTAAATTTGGGAAAATTTAAATTTGGGAGAATGAAAATGTTATTTTCCCTGCAATGAACTCACAGATAAACTCATCCAAGATAAAGTCTATGATTTATAGTCCTCTATTTTCTTAGTTATGGTAGTTGAACAAAAGAAGCACAACCAGATGTGGCATTATCTATTTGAAATTTAAAAAGTATTTAAATATCCTTAGGAATACTTTTGTGAAAAATGAATACAAATGAATGGCATTAGTAAGCAAACAAACAATTGGTTCCTTGTGATTTTATTGATTACTTTTTGAATAATAATACAACTCTGATCCATGACTTTGTCCTTAATATGCCATGAAGCATAAAAAATAAAATGTAGATGGATCCCTTATTTTTTAGTGCAAACCAATGAAATAATATTAGCTTCTATTGATGAAGTGAGAAAACTATACATTTCAAACTAGGCAGTTCATACATATTTATTGAGTAATTTTTCTTTGTACAGAATACAGAACTAGGCATGTAAAAGAGGTCAAGTAACTAACAATTAGATTGATGAAAAAGGCATTACATAATATGGGATATTTCTTATGTAAATATAGAGATAATATAGTAAGGAATGGCAGAGGAACAGATCAATTACTGTGGCAAGGATACTTTATCATATTCCAATATTCATTCTTCTTTTTTCTGAGGAATACAAATAACAATTTTATTTGGACACATGACTCCCTAAAATACTGTATTCTAAGTAAATTTTGCCATACAACCAGTTTTTTGAAAACGTGGTTAATGAGAATTTGTATGTGTACTTTCTGGAAACTTTCCACAAAGGTAAAGAGGTGACCTTATCTTTTATTTTTTTTTAATATTTTTTTAGTTGTTGATGGACCTTTATTTTATTTATTTATTTTTATGTGGTGCTGAGCATTGAACCCAGTACCTCACACATGCCCAGGCAAGTGCTCTACACTGAGCCATAACTCCAGCCCCTCTTTTTCTTTTTATAGATGGCTAGAATATAGATTTAATAAGTGAAACTTGAGTAGTCACTTTTCACCCCAGAATAGAAGCCATGTATTGGAATTGCAATAAAACCATGTGAAAAGAGCACATTTACCTAGAAATCTCAGAATTCCTATACCATCACTAAATATAAATATTTGGGGTTTCTATATATTAGAAAAAATTATTTTATATGATAGGAAATAATAAGTTTGAGTTTTTGTTACAATCATTTCAACCTTATAGTAAAGCACTTTGCAAGTACTTTACAGGCAATTGTGCAAATATTTTCAATGTAGCTACAGGGGATTAATTTGTATTAGTAGGTGAAATTTATATGGAACATGCTTGACTGACAGTAAGAATGTTCTCTAATGCAGAGTCTTCTCAATAAAAAAGGTATAGAAGCCAGGCATGGTGGACCATGCCTATAACTTTAGTGGCTCAGGAGGCTGAGGATTGCAAATTCAAAGCCAGCCTCAGCAACAGCTAGGCATTCAGCAACTCAAGGAGACCCTGTCTTTAAATAAAATACAAAATAGGGCTGGGGATGTGGCTCAGTGGTTGAGTGTCCCTGAATGTTCAATCCATAGTACCCGCCCCCAAAAAAGAATATATCGTTTTATCTACTAATATACAGATATTAGTGATAGTGTTTGTAATATGTGTTCTAAAAGTCCAATATAGAAAGAAATCTAGAAAAGATGGGCACATTATTATAAAAACCTGTTGAAAAGCATATGTGAGCAAAATAATAAAAAATAACAATAACAAAACAATAATGGTAAATACTTATGTATCTAAGATCTGGAAGGAAATGGGAACTCAATGTTATAAGACCTATGATTCTAAGAGATATAAGTGGCAAACATATTGAGAAAAGACTGTAGGAAGTTCACATAGCTAAAGAGGACAAAAAGAGGGTAGTATGCTGGGCACAGTAGCACATGCCTATAATCCTAGTGGCTTGGGAGGATGATACAGGAAGATCTCAACTTCAAAACCAACCTCAGCAAAAGGGATGTGCTAAGCAACGCAATGAGACCCTGTCTCTAAATAAAATACAAAATAGAGATGGGGGTGAGGCTCAGTGGTTGAGTGCCCCTGGATTCAATCCCTGGTACTAAGTAAATAAATAGTTAAATAACTATAAAAAGAGGGTAGTACTGAGGATTGAAATGGAGAAAATTATATTATATACATTGATAAATATGCCAAAATAAACTCCATTAGTATGCATAATTACAAAGCTCTAAAAGTAAAAATAATTTTTAAAAAAATAGAATTAAATCTAATCAAGGAGACAGCACTATGGCAAATTTCCCATGTTTTCTAATAAGACTATAAAGATGTCCATCCTACAAAGGAAATAATCCTTCCCTTTCAATGAGGGGAACACAGTACCAAATCATCTCAAATTCCATAACTGAATTTAGGTAATTAGAGATTACAAGTGCCCCAGGGATTTCCCAGAAGCAAAAGTAAATTTCTCCAGAGGAAAAAACTATTCTTATTTGACCTGAAATTAGTGTTATAATAGTTTTTTTCATGTGCAAAATCCTAAACTAAATAAAAAAAACTCAAAATAGAACACAAAAACTTTGTAGCCCAAATTGTAGAACATATAGAAATAAACGGTAGGAAAATACTGTCTTAGCAAAGTTTTTTTTTACTGTGACCCCAAACAAAAAAAAAAATTGAGTTAGTGCCTGCGGCCGTGGCGGGAGCGCCGGCGCCAGCGGCAGGGAGAAAACAGCCCAAGACGGGAGCACATGAAGACCACGAAGAAAATTCTGAGTAGCAATTGTGAATGGTATTCTTGCTAGACACCTTCTGCCTGAGCATCTGAAATGAACCTCTTGCATTGATTGTTTTGATTGGCCTGGAGCCAGGAGTACTGGATTCAGTTGACTTCAGGCTAAAAAGAAAACAGTCTTGGTTGTCATCACAAACATACGAACCAGTGTGATGGTGAAATGAGATGAGGCTCCGAAATGGAACTGTAGCCACTGCTTTAGCATTTATCACGTCGTTCCTCACTTTATCTTGGTATACTACATGGCAAAATGGGAAAGAAAAACTAATTGCTTATCAACGAAAATTTCTTGCTTTAAAAGAACGTCTTCGAATAGCTGAACATCGAATTTCCCAGCACTCCTCTGAATTGAATAACATTGTCCAACAGTTCCGGAGTGTAGGGGTCGAAACAAATGGAAGTAAGGATGCGTTGAATAAATTTTCAGGTAATACCCTAAAGCTACTAAAGGAGTTAACAAGCAAAAAATCCCTTCAAGTGCCAACTATTTATTATCATTTGCCTCATTTATTGCAAAACGAAGGAAGCCTTCAGCCTGCTGTGCAGATTGGCAATGGAAGAACAGGAGTTTCAATAGTAATGGGGATTCCCACAGTGAAGAGAGAAGTTAAATCTTACCTCATAGAAACTCTTCATTCCCTTATTGATAATCTGTATCCTGAAGAGAAGTTGGACTGTGTTATAGTAGTCTTCATAGGAGAGACAGATATTGATTATGTCCACAGTGTTGTGGCCAACCTGGAGAAAGAATTTTCTAAAGAAATCAGTTCTGGCCTGGTGGAAGTAATATCACCCCCTGAAAGCTATTACCCTGACTTGACAAACCTAAAGGAGACGTTTGGAGACTCAAAAGAAAGAGTGAGATGGAGAACAAAGCAAAACTTAGATTACTGTTTTCTAATGATGTATGCTCAGGAAAAGGGCATATATTACATTCAGCTTGAAGATGACATTATTGTCAAACAGAATTATTTTAATACTATAAAAAATTTTGCACTCCAACTTTCTTCTGAGGAATGGATGATTCTAGAATTTTCCCAGCTGGGCTTCATTGGTAAAATGTTCCAAGCGCCAGACCTCACTCTGATCGTAGAATTCATATTTATGTTCTATAAGGAGAAACCCATCGATTGGCTCCTGGACCACATTCTCTGGGTCAAAGTCTGTAACCCTGAAAAAGATGCAAAACATTGTGATAGACAGAAAGCAAACCTACGCATTCGCTTCAGACCATCCCTTTTCCAGCACGTTGGTCTGCACTCATCACTGTCGGGAAAAATCCAGAAACTCACGGATAAAGATTACATGAAACCATTACTTCTCAAGATCCATGTCAACCCTCCTGCCGAGGTGTCTACTTCCTTGAAGGTTTACCAAGGACACACACTGGAGAAAACGTACATGGGGGAGGATTTCTTCTGGGCCATCACCCCAATAGCTGGAGACTACATCTTGTTCAAATTTGATAAGCCAGTCAATGTAGAAAGTTATCTTTTCCACAGTGGCAACCAGGAGCATCCAGGAGATATTCTGCTCAACACAACTGTTGAAGTTTTGCCACTTAAGAGAGAAGGTTTGGAAATAAGCAAAGAAACCAAAGACAAACGATTAGAAGATGGCTATTTCAGAATAGGAAAGTTTGAGAACGGTGTCGCGGAGGGAATGGTAGATCCTAGCCTCAACCCCATCTCGGCCTTTCGCCTGTCAGTCATTCAGAACTCTGCTGTTTGGGCCATTCTTAACGAGATTCATATTAAAAAAATCACTAATTGATCATCTAAGAAACCAACACGTTTTTTCCTGGTGACTCTGTTAAAGATAGCTAAGCATGTACCTTTTTTTTTTTTTTTTCCAAACTTGAACACTACCTCTGTGAATCTACTGTAGATAAGACGACTGCTGTTTCCACTTGGAAAGCGAATCTCCCGAAGATAATTGTATTATTTGAACTATGCTCTTCTCCAATTTTAACTTGATGCAAACATTTTACAATTATGACAGCCTGTTAATAGGACTTGTACTGTTTTGGTATTATACTAATACATACGAGTTGTACATATTGTTACATTCCTTAAATTTGAGAAAACTAATGTTAAATACATTTTATGAAGGGGGTACTTTTGAAGTTCATTTATTTTACTATTATAGACCCTCTTTTATAGATTATCAGGGATTATATATAAATATATAAATATACATAAAATGTATGGAATTAATTTATTAGAAACACTTAAGGAGTACATATTTTTGTGCAGTAAATTTTTGAATCAATACTTTTTTTGAGAACCAGTTACCTTGCTTTTTTAAGTTCTTTCTATATTTTTCTTTCAAAATGCAAACATTACAAATCAATGCCATTTTTCAAATGCACTGCCATTTAAGATTGATTATAGATGGATTTCTTAACTGAAGTACTTTTATAATCACAGCGATTCTAAACAAAATATTTTCAAAGGCATTTGTCATTCCTTAAAGCCAAGATTTTAAAGACCAACATCCTTCTTGAGGGTTGCTTTACTGTACTGCGTGTGGTATGTAGCCACAGAAAATCAGTCTGAGGACTCTCAGTGTGCGGGTGTGACGGCGCCAACCTGAATCGCCACGGACTCGCTCGCTAAGTCTCTGGTAGGGAAGGTGGCAGACCCTTCCTTCCTTTTTAATCTTTGTCTGTAATCCATGAATTAGATGCATTCTCTTTTCTTGTTGAACCTTTTATATCTGCTCTCATTTCTGAGTTAGTGTTTTTAGGTAATGCTATTGTATGGGTCATAATGTGTATAATTTTAAAGAAAAACAAAATTATTATATAGATTTGTGGCAAAAGGTAGTATAGCAGGTGTGTTTTCCCAGAATGCTTTATTCTGCTGCATTGTGATCTGACCTGTTTCCAGAAGCATTCATCACCTTCAGCGGCAGTTCCACATCCTATCACTGCGGCCAGCAGAGTGTGTCACCGGCTTCAGCCATCGATGGTCTCCACAGAGTACTTCCCTTTCAAACAGTTAGGAGCTGTCAAGCCAGCCAGGCCACTCCAACCACCTGGGGTTACAGTGTGTGGCAGGTGTGCACAGGTGGATCCCCTGAGCTTTCTGAGTGGCCCTGGCCGAGGCTGAGGGCTGTGAGAGGTCCCACAGCTGGTGACCTCTGGCCTGGAGTTTACTGCTGCCCAGTATGTGGGATGCATGGCGTCCAATGCTGCCCTCGCTGTGCCAGATGAAGGGGAAGCTGGGAAATGCCCATCAGGTTCTGTTGTCCCACTCTGTTGTAGAATGTTTAGTTTCCGTGGTCAGCAAACCTACCATGTGGCCCAGGATTTGATGTCACATTTCAGTTGAAGTTTTTAAATTCCCCAATCGCAGAGCCTATCAGCAAATTTCTTTCAAAACAGGGACTTGCCTTTTGTTGTAAATGTTGGCACCAGCTTGGCATTCTGAACCACTACTGAAGCAGCTAAAAATCTGTGCAGATGGAGATCCCCAGGGTCCCTGGTTCCTCAGTAGCAACTGGGTCTTCAGAAGGAAAGCCAGCCTAGGACAAAGTGCTGTAGCTCCCCGGGCTACTCATTAGGGCTTCTTGAAGACTCTGGGCCCAGCCAGCGCGGCCCCCACCCCAGCCTCTGCTCCTCTCTCCAGTTCCTGGAATCCTTTCCATCATTCACGGAGACTCTCCTTCCTCCCATGGCTTTGTTCCCTGTTTCTAGAATGTGTCCGGCACATGGCAGGTGTGGTCGCCTCTGAGCATGTGAACCAGCTGTGCCAGCCTCTCCCCTCCCTCTGCTCCCTTGGCCTTTCACCCTCCCACCGTGCACACGCATCTCCCTGCCTAGTTGTGACTGACGTGTCGTCTCTGAGCTCCTGCAGCCAGCCTGCACCTCATTTCCTCTCTGTCTGTCCTTCACTGCAGCAGTGGACTCACCTGGCCTCAGCATTAGTTGTTCCTCCTTTCCACCAGGTCCTCTGCTAGGCAACTGAGAGCAGTCTTGCTTTCCCTAAGCAAGAATTTATAGTGGTGGCCCGTACAGTCCAATGAGCATCACCGCAGAGGAGCCAATCAGCTAGATGTTGCTGGGGCCGCTGTGAGCCAATCATCAGCCAGCAGCTGGAAGTTTGCTGGCAGCTGGAAGTTTGCTGGGGCCCCTTTGGCTGTGGCTCTCAACATCTCCCCCTCTCTGTTTAAACAACAAGCATGTGGCTTAGGGACCGTGCCTGTTAGGCAGTCCAATTCAACATATGGTCCTTACCCGTCATCGGATGAACTGACCTCTAGGCGTCAGCCTCCTGTCTTAGGTTGGTACCACTGCAATTGGATCATACCCGTCACTGACTACCGGTCCAGCATACAGCCATACTTGTGGATAGGCCTTTGCACCAGTGGGGGGGTGAGGTTCTTTGCCTCACCTCTGTTGGCCCCCAAATTTTAGACCATCACTAGTAGAGGAGGATGCAAAATGCCATGACATTAAGCCAATTGAGGGCTCCTTTGAAAAATTGTACCACCGGTGACATCATCAGCAAAAATACCCCAACACTACCACAAGTCACTGCACCAACAGATAGTTCACAATGCATACAGGTGAGCTCACAGTGTGTCCAGGCAAGTTCTGCAAGCAGTTCAGTGATGGCTATTGTAGAAGCTGTAGATTGGTTTTATCTTTGACTTCACCAGCACTGGGATGAAGATAGGAATTCTGGCAATAATGGCTAAAGAAAAAATTATGTAACATTACAGAAGGCACTAAAAGAAAACAATTTTCTTAACAATTTACATTATCTTTAAGAGAATTATTAAATATAATGAAAAGGAAAGGTGAAAGTAAACAAACAGATCTGTTAACCTTCTTTTTTGTTTACATATTAAAACAATCCTCAACAGTTGTTTACCCAATTTAAATTAAACCATATAAATCACGTGAAAAAAAAAATATTTGGATCCATTTTATCATGAGCGCTCATCATATATGATATATGGACATACGTACATTCAAACATATAACACAAAACACAAGTGTGCACACATAATATAATACATACAACACATAACATTATAGTAAAGGCCTTATAACTTTTTACAGGTGAAATCTCCATTGCAATGTTTAAAAACTCTATAGTCAAAAAATAGAACTGATCAGCAAAACATTAACCTAGGTCTGTATGAGCTCAAAAAACAAAATAGAACTTCATGATATGGCAAAGGGCAATAATAAAATAGATATTGAAAAAAGCATCCTGGTTCTGTTGCAGATGTAAGAATAGCCAAACTGGAGTTTTGGATATCAGTTGTTATGGATTTGAGCCAAATCATCTTCTTTTTGGTCTGTAGAAATCGCTTTAGTTAATCTTTCTGGAATCCAAATCGGCTGCTGTTCTCCCTGTGGAAACACACAAACAGACCCCCGACTCCAGACAATTACTGGGTCAGGACCTTTCCATTGTCCTGTTAGAATATCCTTCCAAAGTACCTTGGGCTTATGTACATTTTTTGGACACATATGCCTTTCTGCAGCACTAAGTCCTGATGAATCCAAATTTAAAAAGTTTAGAGTAAAAAGGGTTATTTTAAGTTTATCTTTGGGGAATATATACCCCTTCCCAATTCCTTCTTTTTGCTTTAATAAGTACATTTTAATAGTTTGATGAGCTCTTTCAACTATGCCTTGTCCCTGTGGATTGTATGGGATTCCTGTTATATGAGTAATGCCAAATGTTGAGCAAAATTGTTTAAAAGAGGTAGAAGTATAACCAGGGGCATTATCTGTTTTTAACTGTTTTGGAACACCCACAGTGGCAAAATTTTGTAAGCAATGAGCTATAACATCTTTAGTTTTTTCTCCGGCATGAAGGGAGCCCATCAAAAATCCAGAAGAAGTATCAACTGTAACATGCAAATATTTTAATTTTCCAAATTCTGGCAAGTGTGTGACGTCCATCTGCCAAATATGGTTAGGTATCAATCCTCTAGGATTGACTCCAAGATTAACTTGTGGTAAAAAGGTCACACAATTTTGACATTGTTTTATTATTTGTCTAGCTTGTTCCTTAGTTATTTTAAAACGCTTTTGTAAAGTATTAGCATTGTCATGGAACTTTTTATGAAAATTTATAGCTTCTTCTAGTGTAGAGAAAATATGTATGTCATGTGTAGTTTTATCTGCTAAATCATTGCCCAAACTAAGGGCTCCAGGCAATCCTGTATGTGCCCTGATATGTCCTATAAAGAATGGATCTTTTCTGTCCCAGATTAGACTTTGTATAGTGGAAAGCAAAGAGAAAACAGTAGAAGAAGGGGAAATCCTACCAGCATCTTCAAGAGATACTATAGCATTAACTACATACTGACTATCAGAAAATAAATTAAATACAGAATCTTTAAACATCACAAAAGCTTGTAAAACTGCATTAAGCTCTACCTTTTGAGCTGATTGTTTGGGTACTAAAAATGTAAAAGTTTGATCAGGGGTAACTACTGCTGCTGTACCATTATTTGACCCATCAGTGAATATATTTGGAGCATTCATGATAGGTGTTTTTCTTGTCATTTTTGGAAAAATTACAGGATGCAATGACCAAAAAGACAATAAAGGATTAGATGGTAAGTGGTTATCAAATGAAACATTAGATTTGCACATGATTATTGCCCAAGTATTTAACTCATTAGCTAACTCATCAATTTGATTCATAGTATATGGAGTAATAATTTTATTGGGAGAAATTCCAAACACTCCCTTTGCTGCTTTTATTCCTTTGAGTATTAATTGTCCTACAGCCTCAGGATACCTAGTAAGAATAGTGTTAGGAGAATAAGATAAATGTATCCATAATAATGGACCTTCTTGCCAAAATACTCCTGTAG